AATTTACTAATACGTATATTATAATACATATATTATAAAACAATACAAAATATATATTATAAAACAACAACATATATATTATAAAATAATACTATTTTCCACAAGTTGCGAGTATTATTTTTTGGAAAACTAAATGTGAATACAAATAAAATGTCAAACACTTTTTCTAAAACTAGACTACTATTATTTTAAAATAACACACAAATTTATTACCTGTGAAATGTAATTTTCTTATTTCTGTTTGTATTGGTAGTTTGTTTCCAATTTTGATTGTCTGACCTATTACGACAATTTGGGACACAGCACCATAATTATTTATTTATATCGTGAATGTATTATGTATTGAATATATGTTAATTTGCATATCCTTTTTCCCGCTCTCGTTGCTTTCGTACAATTCAAGTATATTATTGCGCTTGCGCACAACAACAACCAATCATATTTAGGCACATGTTACCTCGTCGCACCTCCCCGCAGTGGCTTCCACCATGTAACTCTATGCTCCGTCCCTATATTCTTATGTCCATGAGGGAGCGTTGTCGAAAAAAGATGAAGCCCTTAGACCATATATACTTATAGACACGGCCTGTAGATATGAATCCACGAGTCGAGGTGAAGTAAAGATAATATCATCTACGTGACGTCACATGTGAGCATTTCAGCAATTGTTCGGCTAAACGCGGCCTCGTAGATGATATTATCTTATCTTCAAGGCAGTTATCTGAAGCCGTCTATAAACCATAGACTTATATAATAGACGGAACATTCGTGTAAGAGGAGCTGAAGTCTTCGTTAAAAGAGACAAAAATAGTCGTGGAATAGTTCTCTTCTTTTCTAGCAGTGAGTTGATTGGTGGCCGCGGCAAGCCGAGAGCAACGAAGATAGAGTTCGAGAGTCAGTTGAGAGAAAGTGATAGTGAAAGATGATAGCATAGACTTGTGAGATGATTGGTTCCCCACCATCTTATTGTAAGAGAGAGAGACAACTACTCCAGCACTATCTCTGTCCTTTAATGTTGTTCTCAACTTCGTCATATAAATGTTCCGTCTATTATATAAGTCTATGCTATAAACGCGCCTTTACTTTGCCCACATGTGACGTCATGTAGATGATGAGTGTGTTCAGACAACTCAACGGTTGAGAAATCATCACTTATGATAGGATTATTCTTCAAAATCTGCTGCGGTTCCAAAAGTATGATTCAATCAGAAGTGATTATCTCTCAACCGTTGTGCAACTGTTGAGTTGTCTGAACCATATATGTAATACTCCTATATTGCTAGTCGCGTATCTTCGCAATGAGAGGCACGAGGCCCGAGAAAGGGAGACGCACGAAGTCCAAATATGGGCATAGATGGTCGAGCGTCATTATGCGCAGGCGCATTTACCAAGTGAGTGCGAGCGAGACAAAGCATTGGAAAGAACGCGAGAAAGAGAAATGCCCAAACGTGCTTGAATGTTCACCGCATGCGCACAAAGCAGCTGGAGAGAGAGGCTACTATATTGTCTGCACCGTAACGGTGAGCTTCAGGTCGGCACCGTACTAGCAATATAGGAGTATTACATATATGGTCTGAACGCACCCGATATTATCTTTGCTTCAAGATAGTTGTCTGAAGCCGCGTCTATAAGTATATATGGTCTAAGATGAAGCCTATGCAGCCCTTTGACTATATAAACCTGGACTGCTAGTTCCCGCCCCTTTCCGTATCTTCGCAATGTTAAAGCGATGAAGTAAACATTGGTTAGGTTTTAGCTCCGCCTTTTGACCAAAAAGCGGTAACTTTAAATGTCTGATATAGG